GTCCCTTGCAGGGGCCGTGGCTGTTCCTTGTTGTAACCGCCCACAGCCCTTTTACCACAGCCGGCCAGGGCAGACGTACAGCAGGGCTCCCAGAAGGGGGAGGACCAGTCACCTGCGTCTCCTTCTGTCGCTCCTCACCTGCTGCCTTCGCTCAAGGTGCTCTCTTCAGCCTGGGATGGAGGCCCCCGGCTTAGCTCTGCCACATGCCCACAAGGGACCTCAGTCCTCCCAGGCCTTGTGGAGGGATCACGCTTCCGAGGTCCACGCACCCTCAGAGGGTTGGGTGTCCTGAGGGCTGCAGGTGCCGGCTGAGCCCTGGCACATCTCCCAGCTCCTGTGCCTGCATCTGAGACCCGCCAGCTGCTTGGGCCTTTGGCTTATGACATTATGTGCCTCAGGAAAGCAATTACTTTAATGTGTCAATATTAATTACTTGAACTTGACTATCTTACCTGCAGATGAATGCCATAATCCACAAGCTCCCCAACACTTACGTCCTCAGCAGGGATTGGTGTGTCACCCAGTGTCAGTCCCTGAAGACTCTGGAAGAAATGGCTCAGCTGTCCTTTCTCAGGGCCTCTCCTGTCTGCCAGAGGTGGCCCCTCACATGTTGTCCTCATTACCTGCATTGTCTTAGCATTCTCTTGCATGAAGAATGACTTTCTTCCTGTACCTCTGGAGAAGCATAGTTTGGAACTGAAGATACCGGGGATTGCAGGGCATTAAGTAGACAATCATTAGCAGGCCTATTACCCATTGCCAGTTTTAGCACTCTTGATGGTTTCAGGCACCTGACTGGCAAGGTATTTGTCTGGCTTCAACTTCAAACCGCAAATCTAGTGTCCACTGAAATGGCCACAGCTGCATTTGTTGACTATTTCTTCATTGCAGGAAGAACACCGTTGTTGCTGTGAGTGAAATACGAGCTTGTGTGGTAGTGAAACATGGGGTGAAGAAGGGTAAGTCTACCTGCACCCTGGCTGAAGCCTCCCCACAGACAGACCTTAGCTGCTTGAAATCTCCTAGACAAAAGCAGAGCTTGTGGAGTCTTCCTTGGACTTAAAAAGGCACAGCAACCTCAGCCATAATTTAGTTTCTTGCAGTTCAGTGAAGAGGTTTTCCTAGCTGAACTTCTGCCTAAAGCTTTTTTTATATCCCAGCAAAATCCCTATTGCCTTTGTAGTGAAAAAAAAATAAAATAAAAAATTTATAACTGTGTACTGTCCATGCATAATGATATCCTAAAAGGCAATTGCTGTTTAAATTGTGCCCAAGACAGATAGACACCTTTATTCTCACCCTGACACCTTACGAAGAGTAAGCAAGTTCACTGCATCACCATGTATAACTGTGGCTTTCATTACCAAGGTAACAGAATTTTGCCACATGCTACCCATGGGATGGAAGAGGGTTTTTTTACCCTTATCTTACTTTTAGGGAAATAACTGCAGTAAAGTTCTGTAACACTTGTGGCAAAATCAAGTGTGGAAAACAGCTCTCAGGACTACAGGCCACAGGGTCCTGTCTCCCGTGCTGATGCTGTGCCAGTGATACTAGAGTTCTCTCCAAGGTCAGATCATCTTTTTCTTGCTCCTTGGTATCTCCTCATGATTTCAGCTGGAATCTGTGGAGTGAGTAGCTCTTTGCTGGAATGACATTTCTGAATTTTACTGTGGACAAATCTCTGGCAGAGTACAAAACAACTAGGAGATGTGCTGGATTGATCCTAGTCAACAACAAAATACCCACCTGTTGCAAGCCAATTAGTTGCTCACTTGCTCCCCTTACCAATAGGATGGGAGAGACGATCAGAAGAGCAAAAATGAGAATTTAATAGGTGAAGAAAAACTGCGTGTGCAAGCAAAGCAAAATAAGGAATTAATTCACTGCTTCCCACCGGCAGGCAGGAGTCCAGCCACTTCATGGAGCACGGGACCTCCACACATGTAGCAGTTGATTGGGAAGGCAGGTGAGAATTTGGAGAAGTGTTTCATTGTCTGCTCTTGAGGTGAAATCAAATTTGTGTATCAGATGGAAGCAGGGAAAGTGAGGCAGTTGTAATCACTGTGCAGCTGGGAAGCCATTGGGATTCTGCAGCCACAACAGTTTTGCCATTTGTATTTCCAACAGAGAGATTAACAGCATGTCTTTGAGCTGACAGGGCAAAGGAATGAGAGAAAGGTAGATCTGTGAGGGAGCCCACCTGTCACCTTATTTTTTGCAGGCCATAATGGACTAACTCTGCTTAATTGTAGGAAACCTGGAAAAGCAGCTTATCATATGAAAAGCCATGAATGTGCATAGGTAAAGTCTGGAGGGGAGCCTAGGTGCTTGGGGACAAGAAATGTTAAGAGACGTAGTAAAGTAGAATGAAAGATACTACTATTTAAAAGCCGTAACAATTGGAGGATTTTTTTCCCCCTATAATTTGTATTATTGATTCATATCGTGTTGTCACACCATATGGTTCCTCATCTTCCTGTTATGGTTAATAACTGAGAAGTAGTTTCAAATGTTAGCTCCGTGACATGCAGCAACTTAACTACCCATATAGTTTATTTCCAGGTGCAGTACTAATCCTGGAGATGAACAGCATTTGTCTTCAATTTCTTTTATGCTGTCTGCCTTACACAGAGGATCTGATCATAGTGTCATTACCAGTAATGATCATAGTATCTGTTCAGTGCTTCCTCGTCAAGATGTAGGGACAGTGCCCAGTAATTGCACTGTAGCACTCTTGCAATAAAGCCACAAAAATACAAATCTGGAAATTATATAGTATGTGTAAAACTGAATAAATGTTTAAATGAGATGCAGGAAGTCCTCACCTGAGCCACTGCTAGATGTGTATAGGTCTCAAGGAGATAGTACATCATAGGCCCATCCTCCTTTTCCCTTTCTCACTCTATGATGTTCAGTGTTACCTGCATCCTCTACATGGCTGGGTTTCCCAAGTAACATGCCCTAGCTGCTAATGTTGAAAACGTCTCTGAGGATGGGAAAGTGGGGAAGGTTCATCATGATTGAAGGATTTGGTCATGCAGAAGGCACCTGTTTTGGGAGAAAGCTGCTGTAAGTGGTGAGGTAAAAATTGGAAACAGGAAAACCAAAAGGG